GCAGCGTGCATAGGCATTTGTTCATAGTTTTTTTTAAAAACTATAGTCTGGCCCTCCAACGGTCTGAGGGACAGTGAACTGGCCCCCTGTTTAAAAAATTTGAGGACCCCTGCTAAAAATCAAGAACAATTGTGGGACTTTTGCACGACCAGGTAAGACTGTAGTCCTCTTCCACGACTGCAACCAACACACGCACGGAGCTGAAGGTGGGGGTGGGTGTGCACGAGGCTTGACCTGGCATCTCTGGCATGTTTTCTCCATCACCTTTCAAAACCTGGGCCTGGGAACTTCCTCCAGGTGGGCAGGGATGCAGCCCCGTGTGCCAACAACTCAACATGAGAGTGGCAGGTATACAGGGAGGGAGCAGGGGAGAGAAGCCAGGGAGAATGTCCCAACAGGGCACTGATCAAGGCCCCTATACAACACATCCCCCAAAGCGCCGCGGGTTACTGAGCCCCTCCCACACGCCAGCCCCTGTGCTGAGAGCCTTACTCCCCAGAGCCTGCCCGTTCTGAAGCCCATCCTCTCGCCATCACGTGCCTCAGCTAAGATCACAGCCAGCAGCCTATCCATCCCCCTTAACTCGGCCAGTGGCACAATGGCCTTCCTTGCTCACCGTGCCTCCCCAGGCCCACTGCCCCATAAACAGCCATTGAACGAACAGACGACTAATACTGCAGTGAAGTGCCTTTCCTTGTTCAATCACCCCACTTCCAGGGAGTCCAAGCGGCGCGCAGGAAAGGAGACTCCCGAGGCCGGGTCTTGCTCTGAGCACAGGATGGCCCTTTCCCTGCGTGGGGCCCCGCGGACCGTGGCCTCTCTGGGCACACTGCCTGCCCTTGTCTTTCCCACACACTTGCTGGCTTCTGTGGCAGGTCCTCGCTGGTCTCCTTGGACGTGGACATCTGTTCCTGCAGGTAATTTTGAGAGGCTGCGGACAATGCCTAACTTTAGCCACTTTTCTGATGAGAACTTGTCTCCAGCAGGCTGTCACTCGGAGAGGCCACATGCCAGGGCTCTAAGAGGGCCTGGACAATCAGATTCTAGCTCTTCCCGTAACCCACGGGGTGACTTTGGACCAATTCCCTCCCTTCCAGGCCCGTCCCTTTCTCCCCTGCTTTGGTGTTGGCCTTTGGAAAGGAAATGTGCAGAGAGGATCATCCCTGGGCAGCCCCAGACCTGGGCCCACCCGGTGTGGAGAGGTAGGGAGATGGAGACTGTCCACGAAGGACGCAGACTGAAAGGAGAACCTTCCTGGAGGAATCGGTTGGAGGAGGAGGGACTCCTGATAAACCCAGTCCTTAAGCCACTAAACAGCAGCGAGTAGAATCCTGTTTGCCTGCTTCCCACAGAGTCCCAGCCGTGGGGAACTGACCGAAAGGTCCGGATCAGTTCCAGAGGCCCCAACACCCCCCGCGTCAGTCAGCCTGGCTTATTCGATCAGGCGACTGCCACGTTTCCAATCATTTACCAAATACGTGTTAAGCAGATACAGCTCTTCAGGCTCGGGAGCCCCCAGGATGGAATGGGTACGTACTGTGCCAGGTGGCAGCACGTGCTGCCGGAGCGGGTGCCCGGGAGCAGGGCCTTCCTCAGGTCACAGCTGGGAAGGCGAAAGTCCGCGGGGGAGGGGAGGGTGTTCTGGTCATTCTAATTTTCCTCGGCCTCCTGGCTCCTGGCTGACGCAGCCTAGGAGCGCTCTGGCATCTGTGCCTGCCGCCTCCTGACCTTCTCTGGGTCCTCCCAACCTTGGTCTGGTCCCGCCTGGAGGGCCTGCTCTGCACCGAGGCTCCTGCCACTGAAACAGCCATGCAGAGGTCCACAGTGACAGCTGCGGGGGCCTCCAGGCGAGGTGATTGACTGTGGTGCACAGCGGACGACAAGCTATGTCCACGGCACACGGCGGGGCGAATTAGCTGCGGGGAGGCCTCTGTGGATGTTTGCTGAGTGCGGTCCTGACGCTCCAGGTGGCAAAGGTCTTTGAAGACTTAATTAATTTACCAATCTTGAGATAAAATTATCCATGCTTACCTGGGTAGGCCCTAAATCCCATCACAAGTGTCCTCATACAAGAAAGGCAGAGGAGATTTGTGGCACGGAGAAGCCCACATGAAGACAGAGACAGAGCCTGAGGTGATGCATCTGCAAGACAAAGCGTCAAGGATTGCTGGCAGGCAAGGCCTGCCCCGATGGGCGTGGCAGGCTCTCTGCTCTCAGCCCCCCTGGCTGCCTTCAGAGGTGGGGACACTGCTGGGCCCACACAGGTATGTCCGATGATGCTCTCCACGCAGGACTTAACTGAGACTGAAGGAAGGGGAACAGATTGGGAGGAGACGCGATGGCACGCGGAGTGGAGTAAGGCAGATGTGCGCGTAAACACACCTGCTCCAGGGAGACCAGGCGGGGTAGAGCTAACAAGGTAACTAGAACAATGATGGAAGATGCTATTATGTCAGTCACAGAAAGCACAGTCGTTGACAAGTCAGCCAACCACTCTGGGCCAAAGCACAGTTTTAGGAGGGACGCACATGCAAACACTCCGGGGACTTCAGGGCTGCAAGGCAGAGCTGGCCTGCTCCTCTGGGGCAATTGGAGCCCTTCTATCCCTACCCCACCCCCAACCCCACCCCCAAGGACATTTGGCAACATCTGGAGACATTTTTGGTTGTCTTATCTCGAGGGGTGCTACTGGCATGTGGAGGCCAGAGGTGCTGCTAACATCCTTAATGTGTAGGACTGCCCTTCCCCCGACAAAATTGTGTGGCTCCCAAGTGTCACTGGTGTTGCAGGTGAGAAACCTGAAGCTAGAGAGGCAAGCTCATGTGATGTGGGATTTGGACAGAAACGTGCAATGCTGGGGTCCAACCCCAGCAGGTCCAGGGGTCCCCAAAGGTGTGGACGGAGTCGGTGAAGAAGGAATGACACGGAGACAGCGTGCAGTTGATCAGCAGCCCAGTCAGGTTCTCTAGCCACAATCTCCAGCCAAGTTCTGTGTCCATGTTCTCTTGCTAGGTTCTCCAGCCACATTATCCAGGTTCTCCAGCCAGGTTCTGTAGCCATGTTCTCTCGCTAGGTTCTCCGGCCAGGTTCAGTCGCCAGGTTCTGTAGCCGGCTTCTGCAGCCAGGTTCTGTCTAGGTTCTCCAACCAAGTTCTGTAGCCAGGTTCTGTCCAGCATCTTTTGCCATGTTCTGTCTCTAGG